AGCCGCGGAGCTGCCAGCGTTTTCCAAGGAGGGAGCCAGGGACAGCATTTCCCTGCGTTGTCACTAGGGGATGCTCCGGGTTTACTTTTGCAAACAGCTGTATTTGGTACGGATTTGGTAAAAACTTCTTTCCTGAAGGCACTTAAACGTCGTTCATTCAGTGTAAATGATCTCAAAATTAATGTAGCAGCAAAAGAAACAGAGGAAGACCAAAACTGCTTAAAATCCTAAGAGGCAGAATGTGTGGAAACACAAGCTCTTAAGATCAGGAGGGAAGGCTTCAGTATGCCAAGAACCACCCAGGTGAGCAGAAAATGAGACACCAAAACCATCCCCCCAAACCCTTACTTGAATAATCCCGTTCCACACTGGGTGACAAACGCTCCAACCTTTAGGATACAAATTTCACAGCAGGGTTTTCAGAAGCAGTTTCAGCCCAGGAGTACAGGTCTGAACACAAATGCTTTTGATAGGCTAAAAATCTCCTACTTTTTCCTGCAGTAAGCAACTCTCATGTTACCCTTTTATACTTCTCAGCAGGATACTCTAATTTCCTTCTCATCACCCAGCTATTAAAAGCAAACTGGATTCATTCAGTCGCAAACCTTAAAGAAAGATCCAAACACAGGACATTAGATCGTATCTTCCATCTGAGTAATACATCAATATCTTGAATTACTTAAATCTTAACTTGGAGGCAAACACATTAATAAAAATCACATTTAAAGCATTTATTTTGAAAAATAAAATACAAAAGATCATTGAATTGTAATTGTACATGTACATTATCAACTTTTTTTTTTAAATAAAAGATATTTAACAAATTCCACATGTGAATAAAACAAACACCAGTTCCACCAAAAAATCTTTTAGGACAAGCACAGACCACTCTTTGAAAGCTTCATACATTTAAACCCAAACTGCTACAGGAACAACAACAAAAAAAGAATCTTTGAAGATGGAGTTCTGGAATTAAGACAGAAGAGCAATTTCAGAGACAGGCATTGCTTTGCATTTTTTAGAAACTTCTAAAAAAATAGTTGTGCGAATGGAATACGGTTCTACATTAACATCAGTGAATTTTTTTTTTTTTTTTAGACAGGTTTACATGCGCTCACAACAACAAAATTTTGAACAAAAACCAGCATGAAAGAAATGGGGGAGAAAATTCTGCAAGCAGCAGGCCATGAGCAGTATGCCTCACTGCTGTCAGCGGGACAGTCCTTGTAAGATCATTTCCATTGAAAAGGCAGCAGTCTCTTTTCTAAAAGAAAAAGAAAAATTAAAGTTATGTTTGAGCTTTCAATGTCATATTCTGGGTTTATCCCTGACAACATTTTGTAATCACAAATAACGCATAATTAAGTGTAATCAGTCATCTCAGTAGGCAAAAAGTCACTGTCAAGACTAACCACAGCCTCTAAAAACCTCCCTGTAAGGAATGTGGCGGTTGCCTTTTCCATCATTTATCTTTAGGCTTACTTCTTGGAGCATATTTAGATGTAAAAAAGAAAATAAATAAATCTGAATTTGCTCTTCACACAGAATCACAGAATGGCAAGCATTGGAAGGGCCCTCGGGAGATCTTCTAGTCCAACTCTCCTGCTAAAGCAGGGTCACCCAGAGCAGGCTGCACAGGACATCATCCAGGTGGGGTTTGAATATCTCCGGAGAAGGAGCCTCCACAGCCCCCCTGGGCAGCCTGTGCCAGGGCCCTGTCATCCTCAGAGTAAAGAAGTTGTTCTGCATATTTAACTGAAACCTCCTGTGTTTCAGTTTGTGCCCACTGCCCCTTGTCCTGTCGCTGGGCACCACTGAGAAGAGTCTGGCTCCGTCCTCATGACATCCACCCTTACTTACACTCAAAATACTTGTGAAAGTGGGCTGTATTTACATGCTGAAAGCCTCTCTCTCATTACAAGTTACCAGTGGTAGTTACCACTGGGGAGATAATTTGGTTTCTCAGGAACAAGAGAGCAGCTTTCAATAGAAATAACATTCTAAATACATTTTTGAAGGAGTTAAGTGCCAACATGAAGTAGATGTTTCAGTCATTTTAACATTGACTATGTGAAAAGATTACAGCTTCCCTATCAATTTTAGAATGAAGGCCTGCAATTTATCTTTGGAAAGCTTTTATATCCACTATTTCCAACCGGTATGATGCTTTTGGCTATCTTTAGGGCTATAGCACAAGCTGTGTTAATGGCCACACCATAAATATCTACGTTGAGTGTATTTTTGTGGCATGTTGCTTTTGGCTGTATTTAAACTGCTTGCATTTTGCTATCTTTTGTTGTCAAGCTAGAACATTTGACAACACGGTTGACAACTAAAAATCCTGCATTAATACAGTAACTCTTACATTCATTGACTAGTCTGGAATTTACCGAGTCCCCTGCACAATCTTGCCATCATTAATTCAAGAACTAAAAATACAGTTTATTGAAAATACTGGCTGTGGGACATTACTAACAGCAAATGATAGAAATCAGCTCATCTTTAGCCATTTCCTCTATCTAGGAAGGGCAACTGATTTAAAAAAGGAAGAAAAAGCCGATGAGTCATCATTGAAGTTTCACTGTTCTGTTAAAATGGGGACCTGGATCTGCTGTGCAAGTATGCCACAGTGCTGGAAGACACAAATACTAAAAGGAACAAGAAGCTCTGCGGAAGAATGCCTGGATGAATAGTGGCACAATTTTATGGACTCCTTTCAATTCCAAGCTCTAAAATAATGCTGACAATCCGATGCTGCAAATGGTGATGAGCTGTGTAGAACTGCACTGCAATTCTTAAAGCACATCCACTATGTTTTTGCAGCTCTTGCCACCAGGACTTACCTCAGTGTGATTTTTACAGATTCTGAATCAAGATCCGTATCTTCATATTTTTCTTACCCAGAATCTCACATGGATTTACGTAAGTTTAAAAAAAAAAAAATCACCTCAACTAAATCAAGAGGAGCAAGTGAGCAGGACTGCATGCTCTTTTATTACCTTCTGTGCAAGAAATATCCATTGCATCTTCTATTCCATGGGTTCAGTCTGTCAAGTAATTAAAATTAAATTAGCTATTTTAGAGGAAAAAATGTCATTATCAGCAACAATGTTTGCACTCAAAACTAGCTATCTGTTTAGTTACATTATGTTATCTTTAGTATAACACTGAAGGAGAACACTATCAGCATCAATTTCAACTCCAGCATCAGTTTTTATGGTTTAAGCAATATTGTCTTACTATTTCATGAAGTTTATTTTTGCTTTTTAGATGACGCTTTCTTTACTTTGGATAAATCTGCTCAGAACTTGGTAAATACTGGAACGGTACCAAGCTAACTGTAAATCCACCTCCTGAAATTTAGTAGAGTCTCATTTTGAAACCTCGCTATCATACGGATGGAAAGAGGGCACTTACTAGTAATAGCGGATCAATTTTTTGTGATGCATCACAAGATAATTGGAAAATACAAACAGCATAATTTAGCTACCAGATACTGTAGGCAGATCAAGGATCGTTCGTTTTGCTAGCACACTATTATACACAGTGTGCTAAGCTTTAAAGAGAGCTCATCTCCCTGCATCTTCCAGAAATCCGTATCAGCAATATTTAATCTCCTCGTGTTTTGTCACACCCTGTGCTTGCAGCCATACACACCACAGCTTTATCTGTAAGGTTGTAGATAATCTTGAAATAGCCAGATTTGAAAGCATTAGAAATAGCTACAGCACGCTTTCCCAATACAATTTGCTGACAATAACTTTTAAGCAGCACACATTTAGTTGTCTTGCCGTTAAGCTGCATAGATGTTTTGGCCAGCAGTTGAGAGTGAACAATGCTGTAAGCAACAGCACATTTAGCTGCATGGTGCCAGGTTCTTAATGGTTTTGTATTAGCTGAGCACAACTCTGCAAAGCATGAGCGCTAACTGTTCAAAGGGTGAGAGCAGGCAAACATCCAGTAAAAGAGCAAAGCCCACATCAGAGATCGCACAAAGATTTATCAGAAAGATCTGGTGTCCACAGCAAAAAGTTATATTCTGAAAACATGAAACAGACACTACAGCTATTCAGCTTTACTGATCCACGTTCATTTTATCTTGCCAGGAGACTTCCTTTCTACTGTCTTCTTTGGCTGGAACAAAAGAAACCAATTTTCCTTTTTAATCAAGTAATTTTCCTTTGAATGAATGGAATAAGTCAAAACGCTTTGTTTGCATGTGGTAGATTCTCCTGTGTATTCTTCAATCTCTACATCTAACAAAAGGCATAATCAAAGAGTCCTTTCCTAATATTGGAGATCCAAAGCCAAGACAGTTTGTGCCCACTAGTTTGTGGGTTTTTTTTTTTCTTTCAAAGTACAGATATTGCAAATTGTTTTCCTTTTGATAGGCTACTTACATTCTAAATAAACTTCTGTACTGGATGTATCATTAAGGCTAGGAAATAGAGTAGAAATACAAAGTAATGCAAGCAGAGATATGCAATTCTGGAGGCAGAGTGCCCCTAAAAATGCTTCCTCTGCCAATTCTGCAACACTGTACTCCTGTGTATGCAGGAGCAATTGAAAAAACCCAAGTATTTTTCTACTTAGCTTTACTTGAACACACCCTGCAACAGTAATAGTGATGAGCCACTTCCTGTTGTTTCTATCAAAGCATAACGCAGAGAGCACTTCAGATTGTATTTACACACTTACCACCAATTATACAGCCTACAAAAAATGGTATTTTTATAAGCCTAGTTGAGCAGCTCTTACCCAAGAAAACAAAACCAACATCTACATGTTCTACTCATTTCGTATAAAATATACCATTTAAGCCATAAAATACAAATATTTTTGTTATTTCTCTGATAAAGGTGAATTAAATTATTTGCTCCTTGTCTAGATCGTCTGCTCTGATTTTTTCATGGCTAGATTAGCAGAGCTTAAATCTGCAAGGCCATGGGAGGGAAAATTAATTTCACTACATATTGGGGGGGGGGAATGAAAAAACACACGCACAGAAGCCCTTCAAGCTACTGAAACACAGCACTGCAACAGGCAGCTCCATGGAACAAGGCCATCTTGTCTGCTCTGTTACCTTCAAGAGACACAGAAGAGCTGCCCAGCAGCAAGGGATGCCATCTTCCAAACTCAGCTCCTATGTCTGTAAACTGGCTAGCGGTTTACAGCCCAAACCCTTTCCATCGTGTCTTTCTGAAGAAGGGAACGTGCCTCCCACACGTCCACATAGCTGGGGGGAAGGTATCAAGAGATCCTGCAGTTTGAGTGCTCCACAATAAGGATTTTGCTGTTTCAACCGCTATTGCAAAGGTTAGGTCCCATAGGTAGCTGATGACAGTTAACAGCATTTGAAAGATGCTCTTGCTCTTTTCTAGTCACTTATTAAATCAGTACACCATGACTATCCATGGCTGAACTGTTTGTTTTGCCTGATACAATAGTATTTCTTTTAAAAAATTTATTACTTATCTCTGCTCGCTGTACTATACTTGCTTTAAACCTTTCCATGCAAGGCAACAAAAGATAAAGCTTCTCTACAAGTAACAAACTTTGCAGTTTGGTCTACACAAGAGAGTCAAACTTCCCTTGAACTTCACAGCAATATTCAGTCAGCTCAGTTTACAGGCACCATTCTATTAACACTGGGGTTACACAGGCACTCAAGAGAGCCTTGGGAATGCTGAGTGCAAGAGGACTGGAGATTCAATCTCATGGACAAGCTGTTCTCTTATAATCTCTAGTTACCTATCCTCTTACGATCAAAGAGAAAATCAAATTTATGAAGATGCGGTTTATAAAGACATATTACATATAAGGACTTTTTACATACTAACTTGCCGCTATACCTACAAAAAAAGGAAACTAATGCAATACTGTACCTGTGGCACTTCTTTAAGAAAGTCAGGAAGTTGAAATTCACCTTTATACACCTGGAAAAACAAAACAGAATACAATACTCAAAGCTAGCATTCACTACTGTTTGAAATGCTAATGAGCTTCCTATGGGGAAGTGGGGAAAGGATTCTTCTGGGTTATTAGCATCCTGTAATGCTAAAATACATCTACCCAAACTGAGCACAACCTATTTGTGTAAGGAAGTTTTATTCGTGAGGCTTGGTCATCCGAAGTAGTTCTACAGCTGTATGCTCAGTCCCAGGCTTGCTCCTACTCACCACTCTGACTTGTTTGCATTAAAGTGGTAGAACTATGTAACTCTCATTACATTTCAAGCTTGCTCACATTAAGTCCTGTGCAATCCATTCACTATGCTTTTAGAAAAAGATTTTTAACAGGATGATTAAATATGCTAGGAGTGAGTTGCTACGATACATACTTTTTCAAATTTTATGTAACAAATCCGTTGCTTCACATTTTAGCATCTTTAATAAATTAAGTTCCCTTTGGGCTTAATTACAATTTAGAATTAAAAGAGTCTCCATTTAACGCCTTCTGAAAGCGCTACTTGTAACGATCTCATGGACTGTGTCAGAATTGATATACCAGCCAGGCAACAACCAACGTTCAGTTCTCAAACATTTGTGTTTTACAGTTTAGAAACTTCACAAAATGTCACATAATACAACATTTTCTGATGCATCATAATATCTGTCATGTACAAAATACACATCATTCATGCAAACAGAAGAATTATACCTGAACAACTGATCCCACCTTACTAGGCTGTCAAAGGAAAGTTCTGTTAGCTTTCATGTAGTTGATGGAGATGATACAAGTACAGCCAAAGTCTGGAAATGCAAATAACTTAACTTTCAATGCTGTTAAAATGGTCAACACTCAAGGAGCATCCGCATCTCCTTCTACCCTACTGTCCTGGTTTCAGCTGGGATAGAGTTAATTTTCTTCCTAGAGGCTGGCATAGGCTGTGGTTTGGATTTAGTATGAGAATAATGTTGATAAGGGGCTGATGGTTCGGTTGTTGCTAAGCGGTGCTTACACTAGTCAAGGACTTTTCAGTTTCCCCTGCTCTGCCAGGGGCACAAGAAGCTGGGAGGGGGCACAGCCAGGACAGCTGACCCCCACTGGCCCAAGACCTATTCCATACCATATGGCATCATGCTCAGTAGAGAAACTGGGAGAAGTTGGCCAGGAGGCAGCAACCGCTGCTCGGGGACTGGCTAGGCATTGGTTGGCGGGGGGGTGAGTGGTTGCATCACTTGTTTTTCCTGGGCTTTATTTCTCTCTCACTTGTTGTTTTTGTTTTCACTACAATTTATTATTATATTTCAATTATTAAACTGTTCTTATCTCAACCCAAGAGTTTTTGTACTTTTGCACTTTTGACTCTCTCTCCCATCGCACTGGGGGGGAGCGAGCGAGTGGCTGCGTGGTGCTTGGTTGCCAACGGGCTAAACCACCACACCTATTTTACACATATCTATCCCTTTATTCTACATAGCTAGATGGTGTAATTTTCAGGTTATAAAAATGTTAACATATTTGCTTTAATCCTTAAAGATACACAGATACTATTACAACAGGTACAGATATATTACGAGCAATTTTTCCCCAAGTACGCCATGTCAGACCTTGAGTCACTTCACAAACACAGCGTGTGAGATCAGACACTTAACTCCTTCCCCCACAGGCTGTAACCATACATCTGAAATATCTGAAATCCCCAGCTCCTGGAGGGAGAACACAGGGTTGGATAAGGCTTACGTTTTCCTTTATTATTTTCATACCATTTAGTCAGTGATTTGCTTTTCATTAACAGAGATGTAAAAAAAAAATAAAATAAAAAAAAAATTCTGTGGGATAATCCTTTCCTATACTAAGAGACTTACAGATTTAATGGCTTCACATATGAGTACAGAAGTTTCACGTACTAGTAGGGCTGTCATGAAGTTCCAGCCAACAACTCCTATGATTATGAATTTCTACAACTGTAGCCTTATTACCAGCCTGAGTTCGTGACAGTTTGTCATTACCACAGTTTCTGATCTTTCAGAGCATAATGCTGCTTTTGAAACAAGATCATTTTGAGAAAAAGCAAGCAATAAATATCCTCAAAGATACCAACAGCCACACCAAACAAGTGTTTCCACTGTCTAGCCAGTTAAGAGATAAATTGGCAATGTATTGTTTTCTCTCTAGAGGATAATTCTTAAAACCCGTTTGCTTCTGAGATAAACTGGAATACATTCCAAAGTGGGGGAATTATTCTGTATTCTTTTTTTTTTTGCAAAAATAAGTATATTTTGAAAGGAAGAGTTTTACCATCTACTGAAACAAAAAGACCAAACACCCTAGTGTCATGAGTTCTTCGTAGCCCTGTGTAGCTGTAATCACATAAAAATCGAAAGCCACAAACCTACTTAGAAACATTCTATAAAGCCAATAAATGGAAGTGGAGCTACTCTAAAGCCTCGCTCAGAGTTGCACACCCTGGTTTGCAAATTGCGTCAAAGGAAGAAGATTCAGGAAGTCAAGCCATGCTTATTAACAATATCCATTTTCCCCGCTTTCCTATGAATAGATGACCAGAATATAAAAGATGTACTCATTTTGTCAATACACGGCAGTGGCCTAGGACTGCAGCTGAGTCAGCTCAGAATTTCCTGTCTGTAAGATGCCTCACCCCAAAACAGGCCTGCAGCATTAAACCCTATGACTCATGCGGAGTGGACTTTGGAGCTGGCAGTTCTCCTTACTCTTTATCACCAGGCTAAACATATCCAAACAACAAGGCTTTGCTAAGTCCCAACATGAGAGTAGGAACATGCAGAACACACATTGCAGAACTCTGTTCCTTCCGATATTCCATGTTTTTGATAAAATAGAAAGGCTGATTCAAAATGATAGGCACAGCTCTCATTAATATTCAGCTTGCGGATACTGTCATTCCCATGGAAACCTTAATGAAAGCCACACTGGTCAAAAATTCATCATGTGGCTTACTAGAGCCTCAATGTACTATAAATATTTATAAATGAAGGTGAGTATTTAATATTTTCAGCTTTTAACCAAGCCATTAAAATGCAGGCTGTATTCTAGGGAGCAGAAATGGAAGTTACAAATCAACAATATTATCACATCAAAGAAGTGCTACAGAACCACCTACGCAAGGTTCACAAGAAAAAAAAACAGTATCTTTTATCTTTCCCATCCGTGGAAACATTCAAGGCCAGGTTGGACGGGGCTCTGAGCAACCTGATCTAGTTAGCGGTGTCCCTGCTCCCTGCAGGGGGGTTGGACTAGATGACCTCTAGGGGTCCCTTCCAACCCAAAACATTCTACAATTCTATGATTCGACTAATGCTGACATTGGAAGAAACAGGCAAGACTTCTTCACCTGTTCTGGCAAACCACTGCAGTCATTTTCTGAGAATTCTTAAAAATAGTTAATGCTGATGAGAATAGTATGTGGTGACTGGTTCAGAACCAAAGTGACCAAACCCATGTTTGTCTCTCTGGAGGCCTGCTTCTTTCCTTCTCCTGCGCTGACGACTTGGTCTAATTTTTATATTGTATATCTAGATATACATTTGTCCACTCCCAAAACCTTGCCATTGTAATGCCCTTTGTAGCAATAGCATTTACTCCTAATAACCATCAATAGTGCATATTAAGAAAGATAATGACACTAATGTCATAGCCTAGAAAGATAAGAAAATGTTTCAGGGGCATTTACTATTACATTCACATTAAATATCATGATTTACACACCACAATTTACAAAGGCAAATCTAACCAATGACAGGCCCAAGGTGATGTGTCTAGATTAGGTTTAAAACACAAGCATGCCTAATTTTGGTTCAAAACTAACATTATCTAGAATGCTGGTTTTGTCAGGATTGAGACTGCACATAAACTGGTTTAAAGTAGTTCCAAAACCAGTAAGCGGTCCCTTTTGAATCAAACCCAGGGATCAACTGCAATCCAGAAATTCTAAAAACAATGACTCCACTTGTAGCCAAAGAAATTAAGCTGTTTCAGATTCAAAATTCTTTTCTGACCAATTTCTAAGTCTAAAATACATTATTCAGAGAGTGGGAGCAGACAGGCAGAAGCAGGACATTGGAATGATTTCCAGTCCATGCTACAATTCAGTAAAACTGAGCAGAAATGGTGTTTACCATTTCTAAGGGAATTATTTTGCAAGTCCAAATGGATTTCCAAGGGGGGG